GGGGGGGATATATGCCCACCATCAGGCAAGCCAACACTACGGCTAGAAAACTTCAAGAACTTAGGGACTCTTGGGAGTTCCTTGACATAGGGTTGGCAGATGAGATGGTGGACATGTGATATCATTCCACATAAAACCACCACCTGCATGATGAAATCCAGGGGGCTTATCCATGGCACCCAAGCCCCAAAGAAGAGGCTGGATGCCACCTTGCAAGCTCCTCAGTACCCTCACCACAATGGCAGTAGAGTTACATGGAGATATGTGCCCACCATTAGGACAGCCAAGACTATGTTTAGAAAATTCCTAGAACATTGGGACTCTTGAGAGTTCCTTGACATAGTGTGGGCAGATCTAATGGAGGGTGTAATATATATATATATATATATGTGTGTATATAAAATGTATTTTAATTATTATTTTTATTTTAAAAAGGAAACGCACAATTGCCTTAAATGGCATTTTATAAGATCTCCTCTGAGATCATTTTTAACAACCACTTCACTGAATTGCGATGCCTGTAGGTGTTTGAGGAAATGTAAGCTTCACCAGTGTCCAGTTCTCAGCCTATGTTCTATTCCAACTTATTCTGAGCTATGTGACTCATGGAAAACGTTATTTTCCTGTCACCGGCTGGGAAGGGAGGTGGAGGGTGTCTGAGCCGGTCACACCCTCTCACAGGAACTCCAAAATCAAAAGAACTGCATTGCGGAGTGGAAACATTTATGGGAAATACAGACAGTTACACCAAGGTCTGAGACAATGGGGGCAAAAATTCACCAAGGGCCGAGCGCGTCCCGCCGCAAAGGATTTCGACGGTTAAAAAAGGCAGAGCCAGAAGATTCTCTTCCGATATAAACTCTCTGCCTGGCAGTTTTCCTTTTACATTTTCTTATATTATTTTATGTAACGTGGATAGAATATTAAATATATTTCACACACGGGGATTGGATTAATTAGACACACATGGAGATTGGATTAACAATGAACACTTTTATTGGTGCTTTGCTGGGATCTTTTAGATAAAAAAAGATTGTTGAATTGTGGGCATGAAGCCCTTTACAGAGAATGGGTGGGGGGGGAAGAAAAATTTATATATATGTATATAGTGTAATGTAATGTAAATGGGTAAAATATATTCTTTTTTTTTTTTTTTTATTACAACTGCACAATATATATTATAATATTATTCCCCTGCTGGACTACACACAGCACTGACCAGGGCACCATGGTGTCCACACCCTGCACTGACCATGGCGTCCACACCCTGCACTGACCATGGCGTCCACACCCTGCACTGACCATGGCGTCCACACCCTGCACTGACCATGGCGTCCACACCCTGCACTGACCATGGCGTCCACACCCTGCACTGACCATGGCGTCCACACCCTGCACTGACCATGGCGTCCACACCCTGCACTGACCATGGCGTCCACACCCTGCACTGACCATGGCGTCCACACCCTGCACTGACCATGGCGTCCACACCCTGCACTGACCATGGCGTCCACACCCTGCACTGACCATGGCGTCCACACCCTGCACTGACCATGGCGTCCACACCCTGCACTGACCATGGCGTCCACACCCTGCACTGACCATGGCGTCCACACCCTGCACTGACCATGGCGTCCACACCCTGCACTGACCATGGCGTCCACACCCTGCACTGACCATGGCGTCCACACCCTGCACTGACCATGGCGTCCACACCCTGCACTGACCATGGCGTCCACACCCTGCACTGACCATGGCGTCCACACCCTGCACTGACCATGGCGTCCACACCCTGCACTGACCATGGCGTCCACACCCTGCACTGACCATGGCGTCCACACCCTGCACTGACCATGGCCATGGCGTCCACACCCTGCACTGACCATGGCGTCCACACACTGCACTGATGATGGCCAACCAGCCCCAGAACAGCTATATGCCATAGGAAATGAATGGCTCTATAATATGAGGTTATATGAACCGGCAGTAATGGCAGATGGGGTATACAGGGCTGATTTGCATAGCTCCGCCCCTACTCCAGAAATAAAAGGAATAATCCTCTTATTCTGGGACACGTGATGGAGGCTGCACTGTGCACGTCTCTCTGAAGTTCTGATTTCTCGTCCTCTAAGATAAACTGGAAGAGACTGAAAGGAGAATATGAGGCGGTGTGAGCTCCTGAAACTGAAACGTCATCCCTCCGGGAAGCCAGCGCCATCGCGCATGATGCCGGGTAGGAAATTACTTTGCTGCTGCGAGAAATTCCCTGAACCGCCGGCCCCCGTATTTACCGACAACCTCTACCAGCGCTTGTTTCCCTTTAAGGAATCAACATCGGGGGAGGAAGTCGGCCTGAGCTCATTTCCTGTTTATTGTAGCGCAAAGAAATCCGGAATGGGAAATGAGGATGTTGTCCGCGATTTCCAAGAAGAGGCAAAAAAAGTTAAAGCTGGACTCCGGTACCAAAACAATGCAGCTCTGTAATAATAAATACATGCTTAAAGGCAAGCCAGCACCTGCTGGTAGCAAGAGAGAGCAGAGTGACCGTGAGATAAGCAAGGGACAGTAGCCATTTGTCTCTGCTGCAGTGCACGGAACATGCTGATAGGAGGATAGAGCAGAGTGAAAGTGAGATGAGCTGATTGGCTCCTTGTGTTGCTCCTCTGTCTCCCAGGCTGAGCTCTGCTGTACATGGACTGTTACCACGTCAGCTACTTACACAGCATTTAAGAAGACACAATGACTTCAATGGCCACATGCTTACATCATTTAATATTCTGTATCTGCCCCGATTTTAGCTTTCACATCAATATAGAGACCCAGACACCCC